GTTGGGTTCTTCTTCAGATGTCCATTTAGCTCGTCGTGTCCTATTAAGAATTCTGTTAGGATTTACACCGCCCAGACAATTTATTCCTTTGCGGTCCAAAGTTTCAAGTAATTCGTCAACTGTTAGGCTCCAATGAAGAGGTGATGATACCCCTCCTTGCTGGCATTGGTTGTGCTAACTTGTGCAGTGTCTTTTCCTATGGTCGATTCTGCTTTTCTGCTTCTTTTTTCTCTATTTTTCCAATCCATCTAGATGTCAGCCTCTGCTGGGTCCCAGGACACAAGGGAGTAGAAGGCAACGAGAATGCGGACACCCTTGCAAGGAAAGGGGCTGCCACACCGCTGATAGGACCCGACCCCTTCTGTGGCATAGGAATCCACACTATTAACGAATATCTCAGACAGAAGGACAAAAAGAAAATGAAGGAACAATGGAATTCACTCATTGGATATAGACAATCCAAGAATCTTCTAATCAATTTGGCAAGAAAGAAATCACAGAATGTGTCAAAGGAAGCAGACTGCGAATCCTAATAGGATTCCTAACAGGACACTGTAGATTAAATGGACACCTAAAGAAAATTGGAACAATCCAAGATGGCACATGTAGATTCTGCAAGGAAGCAGAAGAGACACCAACACACTTACTAACAAACTGCGGAGCTACATTAGCCCGCAAGGGGAAGTGTTTTGGGATGTACAATGTGACCATAGAAGAGCTTCAACCACTGAAACCGGGCCTATTAATCAAGTTTCTTGATGAAATAAGACTCACCGATGTGCTTTAAGCAGAGCACGGGAGATACAATAGCTCTCAAAGGGCGCAGTATACCATACCCTGAAAAATTACATCTACATCTACATCTACATCTACATCTACAATCCATCTAGATTTGGTATGGTCTACATGTTCTTTCGATAGGGAGATAATGCATGAGATGCATTATCAAAGTCTCCTTCCATTTCGATGAACGCGCAGATTGCTATTTCCGTTGCTTCTAGTGTTCCCTCAGGTCAGTGGTTTTTAACGATAGAAAGCAGTTTATTTTTAACATGTCACATAAAGGGGGCGTCGGTTGCCGCAACGGTTTAGGCGTTGACACGGCGCTTATCACTGTAAGGTAAAGGTCCCGGGTTCGAATCCAGCGGCCCTGCATTCGAACCCGACATACTTACAAATGGGCTTTTTTTTCAAAAACACCGGCACCACCCTTAAAAAAAATGGGAGGCTTCGGATGGGGATAACTGATTTTAATAAATTTGTTTGTAATACCAGGTCAAAATATATTAAACACATGTCGGAGCGTTCTTGTCAATCAACCAAGGAGAAAATATCTGAACTAATTTTGTTCAAGCATGAGTTTGTTCCTGTATTTCAAGGTTAATTATATATCACTAGATTTGTCTTCTACGTAACATAAGAAAATATTACACGGGATCGTATTAAAATCAAACAAATAGTGAGATATATTAAAAATAGGAAAGAGGCTGACGATTACTTCTCGCAAGATATTCAACATGGGTCAATTCCTTGTCGAAAAGCCCCTAGCTATCTGAGCTCCTCTATGATAAGGGTTGGTGGTTTAGAAATGTAACCTTCCTTCAGCCTAAATGCATGGTAATCAGAATTTCGATTTTTAAGACATTCAGTGACCTGTCCATAATTTTCAGACATGATTTATAAAAAGTTACAAGAATCATAAAACATTTCTAGTAAAATAGGTATAACAATTAGTTTGTTTTTTCCTATTTGTTTTAAACTATTTGGAGTCGGTTTAAACAATTTTTAATATCCTTATTCAAACATTTTCATAGTAACAAAAAATAGACATTTTTAGTTTGGATTTGCTGAGGAAGTTTTTAAATCACTCTCACTCTCTCTCTCTCTCTCTCTCTCTCTCTCTCTCTATCTATCTATCTATCTATCTATCTATCTAACCCGCATTTGCGCAGCACAAGAAAATAATAGTGAGGATGGAATAATGAACAAAAGGTTAATAAAATGATACAAATTCAAAACACCTCTGCAATTTATGCAAATCCATCGATGCAATAACAACCGTGGGAAACTTAATCAAACGGTTTAATCTAAAAAACTAAATAAAATATTTTCCCCAACTCTTCGCCTTTCTGCTCTGCTGCCTGGTTTTTTTTCCCAGAAAATCCTAAACATGGAGAGAACATTCAAATAACAACTCTCCACGGATTCTGGTCAACATGCAATAAAATGCATGCAGAAATACTCTCATTTAATGTGTGGTGTTATTACTTGATGATTATTTGGAGGTCGTGAGATGCAGTCTGGTGTGCCGTAGGTTTAAAAAAAAAACATTTTCTTTACCGTGCCACGTTTCGATCTTTATTGAGATCATCTTCAGGGCTCAAAGTGATTGTTTTCCGTGTAGATATATCACTCTTATCTGTCGTGTTGAGAGTGCTCTTTTGTGTTGCGTTTGTGAAGTTGTGTTGTTGTTTTTGATGTGAGTAGGAAATACCTTGTGCTTTCTTCATTTCAAAAAAAGTTCTCTGATTAATAGCCGATGCGAGTTTCTTCTCATTTTTAGCGATGTCCTTCAGAATACTTTCTGCTTGGTGTCCATATGTAGTTCAAATCTGTTCATAAAATCCCATGTTCTTCGTTCTTCTCGTGTAGTATGTGGTGCTTAGTGACCGTACTTAATGATTATTTGGAGGTCGTGAGATGCAGACTGGTGTGACGTAGATTTTAGAAAAACATTTACTTTATTGTGCCAACGTTTCGATCTTTATTGAGATCATCTTCAGGGCTCAAAGAGTGGCACTCTCAACACGACAGACAAGCATGACATATCTACACGGAAAACAATCACTTTGAGCCCTGAAGATGATCTGAATAAAGATCGAAACGTTGGCACGATAAAGAAAATGTTTTTCTAAAACCTACGACACACCAAACCGCATCTGACGACCTCCAAATAACTCTCATTTAAATTATGATTCGTATATTTATTTATTATTTAATCATTTTTATGATGAACCAATTTTAATGATTTGATGAATTTGTCTTGTGCCATCTTTTTTTCTATTAAAGTTCAGCATTGAAACTTTCGAGCAAAGGTTTATTTTCAATATTCTAACTTTTCGAAAAATGACGAGAGATAATCTGTAGGACAGGCGTCAACAAACTATTTGATTTATACGTTCTGACTTTATTAGAAAACGTCATCGATAAAATACTATTTTCATAACTGAATTTACTCTGACTTTTGCATTAATTTTAGATTTGTTTGTCAAGGAGAACCCCAAGTCAAAGGGTGCGTTAAAAATACGAATTTGGCTCACACAAAGATCTACAGTGGTGTAAGAGGACAAAACCCTGCAACATTCACTCATCTTATGCATTTAATGAATATCAGAGTTGGCAATGTTGTAACTTTTTAAAATTCCTTATTTGGCAAAACAAAAAAGTTTATTTAGTTGGTACAAATAACATAAACCGTTTTCATTTATACGTTGCGTCTATGTTGTCATGGATAATTACTCAACTACGACTAACTATAGTTCGACTGTACTAACTGTATTGTGTATAGTTTTAAATTTACCTCATGAGAGAAATGCATAAGGCAGAAGGTCGAGTTTTATTCTCGGCGAACAATGCTCCTCCAACAAAAAACTGCACAGAACTGAACACTGCGTTCGTCCGTGAACTGATTTAGACCGAAGTAGCGAGAATACTGCCTAGACGAAACAGCGGCACACGCATTTAAAACAGCGGTCTTGTGTATATTCGGATTTGATGGGCCAGACGCGTCTCACTTTGGCAGGAAGACAAGGTGGCAGGCGACCAGGGAGAAAGACTTCTTTCGATTCCATCATAAATATAAATGTTGCCAATATCCTTTAGGTACTACGGCTCGAGTCTCTCTAAGAAATATAATTATTATATATGTAAGGCGGTTGTATAAAACAAATTGATAATTTTATCATATGCGCAAATGCTTAGCACGGTAAATACGCCCAACGTAGTAAAAATACACACTTGTAAAGCACTATCAGCTTGGTTAAAAATATTCGACGATTGACGGAGGTTTCTTGAAGTGAAATGAACAATTTAAACCACTAATGAACTTAAAATTGAGTATAAATATAGGTCTGCGAGTCGGAGAACATATGTAAAACTGGCACTGGGTCCAATAAGTGAACTATCAATTTTTTTCTTCTAAATGGACTTATGCTTAACCAGATTAAAAAAAAAATGAAACGTTCGAAAAATTTACCAGTTGAGGTACGCCCTTTGAAAGAAGAAATAATCAGGGGTACGGTACCGATGACGTTTTGAAAATACATTCGGTCGGTTCTGTTGGTCATTTGTAAACTAAAAATGTTCCCTGACTTTGTTGTAAATATTTATAATTTATGTTTATTCAAGAAAATACTTGCTATTAAAATAGAAACTAACTCTCGTCCACTCGATGATTCAATACAAACACGATCATTTTCTCTGTCCTTCTCACTCACTCTTAAGGAAAGCAGTATATTAAATTTGTTCCCGTAAAAAAATAAAAGCTCAGCTCAGTTCACTCATTGCCTCTTCTCTCTTTGTCTCTCTCTTACAATCTCTCTCTCTGACTATCTATCTATTTATCTATCTATCTATTTATTTATCTATCTATTTATCCATCTTTCTAACTGCCTGTCTTGCTCTCTCACTCTCTCTCTCACTCACTATCTACCTATTTATCTATTTATCTAACTACCTCTCTCCTCTCACTCCCTCTCTCCCTCACTCTCCCTCTCTCTCTCTCTCTCTCTCTCTCTCTCTCTCTCTCTCTCTCTCTCTCTCTCTCTCACTTTCTCTCTCNTCTGTCTTTCTTTTTCTTTCCCTTAACTACTCTTTCAACTGTCTTCTGTATTTCTTCAGTGCTCTCTCTTTCTCTCTCATCCTTCCTCCCTTCTTCTATCTATTTATCTATCTATCTATTTATATCTCATTTGGTATAACATTTTGTTTTCAATTTCCAGGGAATCTCGGCTTTGTGGATTTAATCTCACAGTATGAATACGACCTCTTCATACGTCCGGACACTTGCAACCCTCGAGTAAGGCTGTGGTTCAATTTCACCGTCGACAACACCAAAGCTGACCAAGTAAATAGTTTATGCTTTTTAATAATATTTTCTCCACAACTTTTCGTCTGTCCAGTTGGGTTAAGATTTTTAAATGTTAACCATGCGAATTTTCTACTTATTTTTTACTTTTTTAAACTTAAAAAAAATATATTTTTTTAGTAGTTTTCGTGGTCCGCTTGACTAATTAATATCTTTCAATTAATTAAGGTTTTTAGTTGATATAAAAAAGTCAGTATCACCTCCACTCGTATTTTACCTCAACTAAAAACCTTAAATAATTCAAAGATATTAATTGGTCAAGCGGACTAGTGAACTTAATGTTAAAATGAAATATATCTTCACTAAAGATCTCCGTGGCCATTTCATTTGTCGCCGAGAATCAAATAGATTAAACAACACTTGATAAATGGCAAAAAGCAGGGAAAATTCAAAGGTGGGGTTGAGATGGGAAGTTGATGTCCGAGTGGATCGAAGTCACGATAGCTCATGTGGTAAAATAGCGGCGTGTCTAGCCGAAGGTCGTGGGTTCGAATCCCGCTCGTGACACTGACTTTATTATCTCAACTTAAAACTTTAATTAGTTGAAAGGTTTTTTTTTACTTGGGTTCAAAGTTATACGAACTGGGTGTCAAGGTCGGTCAACACATATTTTGAGAAAAATTGGAGTGCTTAAAGAAAGTAACGCTCTGCCCAAATAGTAAATGCAACTATGGAATTGATTCTATTCTGTTGGTCTCAGAAATCTTGGTAATCATTTTTCCTTCTTTTTTTACTAGAGCGAAAACAATTGCCAAATATGTCTTAATTGTTCAAGAACCGAAGTTAATGGAGTAATTTTTTTAATCTAGTTAAACTTGTTCTAACGATAAAAGTCAGTCAGAAATCGCTGATAATTTAATAATTAGGAAGAAGTACGGTCGCTAGTTGATACTAAACGCTAAATGTACCTTCTGTTTATCTGTCGCAAGGCGGCGTAATAAAATGTTCCAAAACAATTTTCTATGGATCAAACTTTACTATGCAATGGAATCTCTGGATTAGGGTTGTGGTCATTTTTTTAGAGTACCTGGCCTTAGAACATCATTACAATCATACTGATGTTGTATAACACGTTCTGAGCTGCTTGGTTTGACAATAATAAACAAAACTGACATTTTCTACATTTTATGCAATACACAATTAGCGTTTGTAGAAGAGGTTCTTTACATTTTAATTCGTATAATATTTCCTACCTTGCTTTTAAATTTAAATACTACAATTAATTAAGGTTTTTAGTAGAGATAAAAAAGTCAATGGCACGATAGGGATTCGAACCCACGATCTTCGGCTAGATACGCCGCTGCTCTACCACTTGAGCTATTGTGACCTCGATCCACTCGGACAATAACTTCCTTAACGTGCGGACGAGGCGGCAAAGGCCGGGACGTCCAACCCTCCAGACCGGACCATCGCGACCAGGCCCTCTGACGCCAAGCTAGCAGTAAAGAACATGATAAAAGAAAGATGGCAGCGTCAGTGGGCCGGGTCGTCCGAGAGGCTTTTGCGCGTCAAGAGCACGATTCGTAGATGGCCCCCCGAGAACCTGAGCCGGAAACAAGNAAGTTGGTGTCCGAGTGGATCAAGGTCACGATAGCTTAAGTGGTAGAGCAGCGGCGTATCTAGCCGAAGATCGTGGGTTCGAATCCCGCACGTGCCATTGACTTTTTATCTCAACTAAAAACCTTAATTAATTGTAATATATTAATTGGTCAAGCGGACCACGAAATTAGTGAATTATATACTACTATTATATAACTGATTTTTGTTTCCAATAATCGTTTTAATTTGTTTTATGAATCTCCAATGCTATACGTTGATCAAATCATTCTGATGGGGACTGTTTTGTAATTACATTCGTTCTGCTGTTCATTTCTTTATTAATGACTTTGGATGTGCATTATCCATTAACATAGATTTAAGTGCATTTCGTTTTCCTTGGCACTTAGTTTTAGTGTCACCTCTATCAGGTTGTACGCTATATTGATTTTCATTTGGGATGAAGGAGCACATGAATAATGTAACACCCTATCAGAATTGGTTGGTTTCATATACACAAATTGGTTAACAATTTCTTTCCTTCCCTAATCACAACCAAGTCCAGAAAAGGCGTCCCATCCACACATACGAATTAAAAGTTAATATCTACCAACTCTCTCTGTTTTACAATTAAGAAAAAGTCACCAATATATTTTTTAAACTAATTTCATGCAGAATTAATAGTTAAGTCTAATCCAGTCTAGTAATTCATTCATTATTATGCCTGGAAGGAATGGTAAAGCATTATTCGGAGATCGTGAGATGCGGACTGGTGTGAGGCAGGTTTTCGAAAAACATTTTCTTTATCGTGCCAACGTTTCGATCGTTATTGAGATCATCTTCAGAGCCTGGGATCTATAAACATTGTTTAAATTTTACAAACACATGTAGGATGTGAAAAATGTGAATGTATAAAATGCTAGAAATTTTAGATTTACTGAAAGTATTGGTACTCACTTAAAGATCCTAGACCAGTAACAAATAAGTCTGATGTAATTTACAAAATGAATTGTTTAAATTGTCCGGCAACTTACATCGGTATTACATCCCAATATCTGGATAAGAGAGTAAAACAACATATCTATGATTGCAAAAAAAACCCAAGCAAAATCTTACAGCACTGGCTACCCACCACTTTGAACACCAACACAATTTCGAATTCAACAATCCAAAAAAATAGCAAACAGAACAGAGCAAACGTAAACGTAACTTTTTAGAAATGGTTTACATCAACAGAGATAAACACAGCATCAATTACAGAACAGACACATGTAATCTCACTCGCAGCTACGCCAATATCATTGCTCAAATCAATATCGATAACATACATATATCAACATCACATAACACAAAACATATAATACAACATATAAAACAATCATCACATTCCTCATTAAACATTTCTACATAGACTAATTCTTCAACAATTTGGCTTTCCTTTCCTTAATTATCCCCATCGGTATAATACTGAAATGTGTGGTGATTAGTGACCGTTTGTCGATGATTATTCAGAAATCGTGAGATGCGGTCTGGTGTGATGCAGATTTCAGAAAAACATTTTCTTTATCATGCTAACGTTTCGATCTTTATTGAGATCATCTTCAGGGCCTGGGATTTCAAACATTGTTTAAATTTAACAAATACATGAACAATATTTGTAACTCCCTGGCCCTGAAGATGATCTCAATAAACATTGAAACGTTTGCATGATAAAGAAAATGTTTTTCTGAAACCTACATCACACCAGACCGCATATCACGATCCACGAATAATCATCGGCTAACGGTCACTAAACACCACAAATTGGTAAAACAGTTCCTCCCATTGATATACCCTCGGTTTGTTCATACATTTGATCTTCATATTTGAAACATCCACTAAACGCAGTGATATGAAGTATCTCCAGTAACTTATGACAAGGGATGCTAGTGAGTTCTTCTAATTCCTTCGGACGTCTCATTAGTACATAAGTTATTAACGCTGATGGCCATATAGCAGTATGCCCAAAGACTATGACCTTCTAAAAATCCACAAATTAGACTTACCTCATAGGTCCATAGTTTCATCTATCAGTCCAGGTGTTGAACTATTGAAATTCGTTGCTAATATACTGAACAGGTTAGACTTAAGAAAATGGTACAGTGCTAACAATTTGTACATCTTTAGAGAAACCGTCATAGGTCTCAGTACAGAAGATGCTTATATCTTTAGATGTGAAGTCGTTATTCATCAGTATACCATTACGGTTAATAAGTGATATAGTAATGAGACCTTGGGAGGAATTACAAGCACTAGCGTTCCATGTCGTAAGTTACTGGAGATGATTTTGAGATTGTGAGATGCAGTCTGGTGTGACGTAGATTTCTGAAAAACATTTTCTTTACCGTGCCAACGTTTCGATCTTTATAGAGATCATCTTCAGGGCCTGGGATTTAGAAACATTTAGAATACCTGTAGGATGTGAAAAAAACGAAATGTATACAATGATAGAAATTTTAGAATCAATCAAAGTATTTGTACTTACTCAAAGTGTTTGTTTTCTGTGTAGACGTGTCATTCTTGTGTGTCGTGTTGAGAGTGCCAGTGAGATATTGGATGATTTATATCTATGGATTTTGAAGGTGTGGGAAGGAAGTCGGGATAGAGAGACATTTTTTTATGTGAGAAGTCGGCTTCTTTGAGGTGAAAGTAGCTGACAATGGGAAAAATGGGTAATGGTTCGGCCTGATTATCCTTTCAGGATTATATAGACAAGAGATAATAGGGAAAGGAAAGCCAAATTGTTGAAGATTTAAACTATGTAGAAATGTTTGATTTGATTTAGTAACGATTGTTTTATATGTTGTATTTTATGTTTTGTGTGTTATATATATGTTATCGATTTTGAAGTCGATTAATGATATTAGCGAAGCTGCGACTGAGTTTACATGTGTCTGTTCTGTAATTGATGCTGTGTTTATCTCTATTGATGTAAACCATTTCGTAAGGTAACTTTTTAGAAACGGTTTACATCAACAGAGATAAACACAACATCAATTACAGAACAGACACATGTAAACTCAGTCGCAGCTACGCCAATATTAATGCTCAAATCAATATCGATAACATCATCAACCTTCTCTAGATTTGTGTGAGATAATCACGTATTGGGTCACAGAAACATAGAAACTCCCAACTCCGTGCCAAGCTTTCGTTTAATTTGTAAACATCTTCAGGGCTGAGTTAGTTCACGATTTCTTTTTCAGGTACATATGTAAATGTTTATAAATCCTAGATAATAAATAAATTACATATAAAAACAACAATTAAAATATCAAAATAATAAAAACCATGATAGATAAATTATTTTTCAACAATGTGGTTAATTTAATAAATGAAATAAAATAGAGGAAAACCTTAGGTGACCTAGTACCTGATTAACATGATACAAAATATGATTTGTA